GAACTCCTGACCTCGAACGATCCTCCCGCCTCGGCCTCCCAGAGTGCTGGGATGACAGGCGTGAGCCACCGCGCCCGGCCTCATCATAACCATTTTTAAGTGCACTCGGGTGGCAGCAGATGGCAGAATTTCCTTCCTTCCTAAGGCGGGATGATGCTCCGGTGCGCGAAGGTGACTCATTGCGTTTCTCCGTCCGCCCAGCATGGCCACCAGGGGGCGGTCGCCTGGTGGCGGGAACACAGAGGGCCCAGTGCCTGCACCCGCTCAGAGACCCAGCTGCAGGACCTCACCTCGGGGCGGTCTCCGGAGGGCGCGGCCCACCCCGGCCCCCCGCAGGCCCGGCGCTCACCAGCTGGTGCTTGGCGGCCTCCCGGATCCAGCGGATGTTGTCCCTATACTGGAGCTTCACAGATGCGTCCACTGTGGGGACAGCGTAGGGGACGGTCGCGGGCGCCGGCAGCCCTTGTGGGGGACACAGACTACCTGCTCTGCACCCACCCCCGGAGGCGAGACACAGCTGCCACCAGCTGCCAAGCTTTGGGGGCCCTGCCAGTGTGGAGGCAGGAGCTTTGGGGGACACCCCCAGCCCCGCCCACAAGCAACCCAGCGGCGTCACCTCCTCCAGCAACGGCCTCCTCCAGCGCAGACATGGCCAGCTGGTCCGTGACAGCCAGGTCCTGGGGATCCCCTGACGTACAGACCCAGCGGAAAGGCCCGAACCCCAGGGAGAAGATGTCCCTGCAGGGTCAAAACGCCTGGTCACACGGGGCTCCCTGGCTGGCCACGAACTGGCTGGGTCAGGGGGGCGCAGTGCAGCGGGGTCTGGCCTCCAGAACTGGGGGTTCAGAAGGCCTCTGTCCCCCTCGGTACCCCCAGCTCTCTGTCTCCCCATCTCCACCGCCCCATGTCTAGCTGCAGTTCACCCCCGGACAAGCGAGAATCTCCTCCAACTGCTGTTACGAAGCCCACGTGAAAGTTCGTCCTCTAGGCCGGGCGTGGAGGCTCACGCCTGGGATCCCGGCACTCGGGGAGGCCGAGGCGGGAGGATCGCTCGAGGTCAGGAGTTCGAGACCAGCCTGGACAACATAGCGAGACCCCTGTCTCTACTAAAAATAGAAAGAAATTAGCTGGACAACTAAAAACATATATATAGAAAAAAATTAGCCGGGCACGGTGGCTCACTCCTGTAATCCCAGCTACTCGGGAGGCTGAGGCAGGAGGATCGCTTGAGCCCAGGAGTTGGAGGTTGCTGTGAGCGAGGCTGACACCACGGCACTCTAGCCCGGGCAATAGAGTGAGACTCTGTCTCAAAAAATAAAAATAAAGTAAAACGAGAAAAAAATGGGGGCAGCGCCACGGGTCCTGTGCACGCCATGCCGGCTGGGGCCATCTCCGGGGAGGGGGCAGGGCTGGGGAGACCCTGCCTGGGGCCCCCGGCCCACCCGTCCTCCTCTCACCCACCTGCTCTCTGGGCCTCCAAGAGGAAGGCATTGCCGTAGTCCCAAAAGAAGAAGTTCTCCTTGGCCAGCCTGTTGATGGCTGCGACCTGCCTCCGCAGACTGCAAGGAGGAGGCCGAGGCTCAGAGAGGTCAAGATCTTGCCCAAGGCCACACAGCAGGACAGGTGGGCCGCCCAGACCAAACGCTCTCGCCCCCGGCCCCGCGTCACCTTTCCTGGACCAGGCGCTGGAACGCGGCCGGGTCGGAGGCCATGAGGCTCTGGGCCTCCGAGAAGCCGAGCTGGACGGGGTAGTAGCCGCCGTTGAACGGGTTGTGGCAGGAGGTCTGGTCCGACCCGAGGTCCACCAGGAGCTCCCCCGTGGTGTCCAACACGTGCACCAGGTGCTCCCTGGAGAGGCCGGCGGGGGGGCGGCCCGTGTCTGAGTCTGGGACCCGCCGCACAGAGACCGCAACCCACTTCCCACCGACGCCCAGCACGTAGGGACCGTGTGGTGTCCTCCGAGCTCGGGTGAGGCCGGGGCCCCGCCGAGGGCCCTGGAGCTTCGCGTCCTGGCAGCACCCAGGGAGGGGACCCCGAGGCTGTCACCTCCCACGCCGCACTCACCAAAGCGCCACCACGTTGCCGTGGTAACCAAGGCTGAGCACCTCCTTCCTGGTCCTTGCTTCCCTGGTGGGACACGGGGCAGAATACAAGACCCCTCCACACCCGCCCGTGGCCACCGCGAGCATCGTGCACGAGAGCGGGGCCTGCGAGGCGTGGGCCGTGGGGGTGGCCTCTGGGGACCCGTCGTGCGTCCAGGACACGGAAGGTGAAGGGAAACCCAGAGTCGAACCCCCGGAGCACAGCACGGAGGAGGCGGCGACAGCGGGGACCCTCCCCGGGGATTTGGAGAGCGCGGCCGTCACCGACGGGTCTGCAGAGAACGCGCCACGCGGGCGGGCCCTGGGGTCGTGGGGTCGTGGGGTTGTGGGGTCGTGGGGTCGTGGGGTTTGCTAACGTCCCTGCCAGAGTTACCTGGAAAACAGGACAGGACAGGAGCGTCAGAGCATGTTCTCGGGACGAAGGACCCGGAGGGGCCGAGCGGGCAGTCACGCCTCTGCCTTGGTGTGTGTGTGTGCGTGTTGTGTATGTGTGTGTTTTACGTGTCTGTTGTGTGTAGGTGTGAAGGTGTGTGAGAGTCTGTGTGTATTATGTGTATGTATGTTGTGTGTGTATGTGCGCATGTGTGTATATGTGTGCTGTTTATGCATTTATGTGTATTGTGTGTGTTGTGTTTATGTGTATTGTGTGTGTTGTGTGTGTGTTGCCTGTAGGTGTGTGTGAGTCTGTATACAGGTGTGTGTGTTGTACATGTGTGTTGTGTGTAGGTGTGTGTCTATGTGTATATAGGTGTATGTGTGTAGTATGTGTGTAGGTGTGTGAGAGTATGTCCATATTGTGCGTATTGTGTTTATGTGTATGTTTACGTGTATGTATGTGTTTTCATGTGTATGTGTTTACGTGTGTGTTTACGTGTGTATGTTTGTGTGTGTTTACATGTATATATGTTTATGTGTTTATGTGTGTTTACGTGTATATGTTTATGTGTGTATGTGTTTACATGTGTGCTTATGTGTGTTTATGTGTGTGTTTACGTATATGTATGTGGTTACATGTGTTTACGTGTGTGTTTACGTGTGTATATGTTTGCATGTGTTTACATGTGTTTACTTGTGTATATGTTTACGTGTGTATGTGTTTACATGTGTTTGTGTATATATGTTCACGTGTATGTTTACGTGTGTGTTTATGTGTGTATATGTTTGTGTGTGTTTACGTGTATGTGTTTACGTGTGTTTATGTGTATGTATGTGTTTATATGTATATATGTTTATGGGTGTGTTTACGTGTATGTGTGTGTTCACGTGTGTGCTTACGTGTGTATGTGCTTACGTGTGTGTTTCCGTGTGTGTTTGTGTGTGTTTACGTGTGTATATGTTTACGTGTGTATGTGTTTATGTGTGTGTTTCCGTGTGTATGTTTGTGTGTGTTTACGTGTGTATGTGTTTACGTGTGTGTTTACATGTATATATGTTCACGTATGTGTTTACGTGTATGTATGTGTCTACGTTCTGCTCTCACCGCCGCCGAGCGGCAGAACGTCAAAACACCTTCCGGGGCGTTTCTGCCGCGGGACCCGGGTGGGCCCGGGGTGTGGCCACGTGTCAGGCAGTGACCGGGCCCCTCGCGGCCTCCCGCTCCCGGGCCCGTGGGTCGGGGGTCGGAGCCCCCCGCGGCCGCACCTGAGTCTCTCGATGCAGCGGTCCAAGCTGTCGGTCACTTCCATCAGCCAGCCTTGCCTGCGGCGCTTCTCCAGGGCGGCTCTATCCACCTGCGACCGTGAGACCCGGGTCACCCAGCCGCCGCTTACAGACCCGCCCTGAGTATGTCGGGGCCGCGCCCGGAGACCACCCACTCCTAAAGCAAATCCTACAAGCTGCCTTCACACTACATGTTCCTCCTCCTCTTCCTCCTCCCTATCCACAGAACCCAGATTTCGCTCAGGGTGACACCATTCAGCCCCAGGAGACGATAATCACAGCCGTCCACTAGTTCCACCTTCCCTTGTCGATAAGAACACCCGTGTCATCAGAGACTGACCAAGGAGATTAAAAAAAGGAGGGGTTTCGAGACGTGATTTTCCCGCTAAAATAGTCGGTCATAGCTGACACTTCCCTTCTCACTTCTTTCCGGCCTTGGGTGTGTGTGTGGGATGGCTGGAGCTGTGGCAGCAATTTTGTGTCCACGAGGGAAGCACAAGAGAATCTAGAGATGTCGGTCCCGGTGTCACTGAGCTGCGGGACCGGTGCCGGCACTGTGGGTTATATGCGAGGAGTAACCCTTATTCGTGCAAGATGGCGTTGGGGGGCTTTCTGTTACCTGCAGCCCAGCGCACTCCTAACAGGTACAGGCGCGTACGACGCGGGTTGGCGTAGTGAAGTGTAAATCACA